TTATATGGTGAGCTGGGCATGGCAAACATCAACAGGAAGTAGCTCTGAGTCTAACTTAATCACAGGATACTGACAATGAAGATCAGTAGCTCTTTAATAGACATCTTAACAGGATCAAAACATCTTTATCTGAAGAGATAACATTCAGTGCAGTCAACGCCCATGACCCTGGGTATCAGCACAGATAGAGAGCAGGTGGACCAAGTAAAGAGAAGGTATGTTTATGTGCTTCTATGCATATTTGAGCGTGCATCTCTATCTGATTGTTCATCATTTCCATGTGAGTCTGTGTGAAGTGTGTGTGTTAGCCAGTACAACAGGCCGCAGTATCTTTTTATGGTCTGCAGGAGACGCGTGCCTGCTCAATGCAGAAAGCACCCCTGACAAACATGTTTTCATCTTGGAGTAAGACCCTGACTCTTTTGATAAAGGAGTGAGAAGGGAAAAAATGCATTTGTGTGCAAAAGAGAAGGGAAGTGATTTGTGTATGTGTGTGAATGAGGGAGAGGAAGATGGATGGAAACCGTCTGACAGAGTCTGTTTGAACCGAGAGCTGCTGTGGAGGATTATGGTCCCTCTGATCAGAAAGAGGGAGAAAATAGAAAGAAGGAAATGGGAGAGAGAGCAAGGACAGGCAGATGTCAACATGTCTCTCAGATCCACTGGATTTGTCTGACCAGCGTTTGGTCTCAATCCATTGCTTTGAAATGCCACGATTCAGGGAGAGCTGAAGTTTTGATGAATTCTGTAAATAACTCTGTACATTTGATGCATGCAGACATCAAACTAGGGGTGGCACGATACCATTTTTTCAGAACCGATCCCGATCCGATACCAAAAGTTCTGAGTATCGGACAATACCGATCCGATACCAGCACAGGTTTTTTTTTCTATACCTCAGTGTGTGTTGACCTGATCATCACTCTTTTGTGTATTACACACAATCTACTAAATATAGACAACTTCATTATAAAGAAAAATAACAAGTAAAAAATATATATAATCATAATCTATGAGGAAAAATACTATTATAAACTAGGTTAGTGGATAATTCAGCAGCAAAAGTTACTCTACAAAAATTATTTTGAGTTCACAATCATTTTATAAAATCTAAACATTTAGAGAAAAAACCTTATTTAGTGGGGGAAAAATAAAAGTAAATGGGTGTAATCTGGTAAAATGTTACACATTGCTCTTTGTATTGTAGTATACATTCATGTAAAACAAGTAAATATAATTATATATAAATAGATGCAATAAATTAAATACATTTCTTTTACATTTATAGCACAGTAATGAAGCAGCAACATACGATAGATAAGACAGAACAAGAAAGGCTATTAACAATCTTTCATTGTGCAAAAATATTATAACATGAAAGGGAGAATGATCCCGTGCGCAGAATGATGCGCTTGAAGCAACTCGGAGTCACAGAGCGCAGCGCTCTGCATAGAAAAGTTCAAAGCACAAAGTGAAGAGATACTGATGCGTAGTGTATTATATCTGTGTGATAGTTTACTGAGCCTTTTCTTTTAACAGTTTTAAATTTCAGTTACTGTGCGCGTGAAGCACGATTCATAGTGCTCTGTACGCCAGTGTTGTGATCTCTTAACAGACACCCGGTAGAAAGTAAAATGATTTAGAATTAGCTATAAACTCCAGCAAGATAAAGTCCTTTTATGCAAAACTGCTGATGTTTATCTACAGATCAAGTATAATAATAGGAACATTGTATCATCCTAAAGAGAGTTTTGTCTTCTTGACTGTCGTAACTGAAAGCCACACGCTGTCTGAATGCTGAATGGAGGATGACAGACAGCTGCAACGGAGAGAAGGGTTTACATGAACTTGAATTTAACGACTTAAATATTCATCTGTACCTCACATTCAACTATGGAACGGTCTCAGAACACTTGAAGTATAGTGCACGGAAACTTTATGGTGCTTTATAATGTTTTTGTGGCTTTCGTGGGGCTTAACAATAACACAGAATAGTATACGCACCACATCGGATTTGGATCGGTCTTGTCTGACCGATACCCCGATCCGGCAGAAAATGCCAGCATCAGAGCGATACCGATCCTGAATATCGGATCGGTGCACCCCTACATCAAACACGCATCAGTTCATGACAAGTACAATAATATAATAATTCAAATGACAATTCAATGCACTAGTGCTAACGTCACTTTGTCTTTCGTATGAAAAGTTTCCAATAGCATCACAGAAAGGAGACACTGCTATTTTGCCATTAATTTACATAAACTATCTAGTGTTGTATTTGTTTTTGGCGTTCTGCTGTTTAATTTGATGATAATGCAAAAAAAATAATATCAAAATTTTTTTCAAAACATTTGACTGATAATTGATTTTTAGTCAACTTAAAAATGTAACTACAACATGATTCAAGTAACTTTTTCTTTATTAATCTAGTTAAAAAAATTATATTCCAAGTGCACCGCACATGAAGTTGTCAACATGATGTAGATGTTAAACAAATCACTTGCAAAAAAGATGCACGAACTACAATTACATCTTGTACAAACTTGTCTTATACATATTATATGTTCAGAAATAATACAAGGAAAATCTCAAAAGTCTAAGTAATTCAAATTCAGAATGACTGAAGGTATAACACCTGTAAGGGAAACAGGTCAATTTAGCTCAAAGGGAATCATTTAAGATTTTAAAGGGAACTCCACCATTAATATGGTTTTTTAAAATATCTATATATGATCTATAAAAGATTGTTATTGTGAGTTCTTTTTGGCCATGATATTCATGTAGTGATATTATAGATTTGTTGACCCTTAATTTAAATACAATATGATTGTTCTAGTAAATTTTAATTGACACTGAAGAGTAAGTGCATTACAGATTATTTGTGTTGAGTGTGACCTTTCTGTTGCTCTCTCTCTTTTGAGCATCCTGAAGTCCCATCAGATTTTGGTGTAGATAATTAAAAACCCTTATCTGTATGTGCTCGTGTGTAAACATAACTCCTTTTCTTCGTAGCATCCTTCTGTCGCCCTTTCCTTCAGACCCACATCAGGGATGAATCCCTCCATCTGTCCATTGAGGGATGAGGAGCGAAGGCTGTGCTAATGAAAGTGGAACAGGAGGATGTGTGCGTAAGCTTCTGTGTGTATGCGTGATTTCGCCTGTGCGGGTGTCAAAGAGTATGAGATTTTGTGACATGCTGTAATCAAAGTTGAATTGCACTGTTCTGAGATAATGCTCTTAGATCAGGGAGGATAAATTCGGGATTGTTCAGATGCCCTTGGCCTCCCACCCCCTCCCACAGACATCTGATGAAATTCAAGGTCGAGTGTTTGCAAAGCCTGGAAAGGCTCCAGTCAAACAGTCTGGTCTTAGGTGAATTTAGTTGCTTATTCTTTGCCCATTGGTTATTTTTGGAACGTTGTCAATTAATGCCGCCAAAAGGTCTCTGAGACCTTCATTTGACCTAATTTGACACTCAGATGGCCTGGAGTTTAGCTTGAAAGGCAAAAAGTAGCATGAAAATAGAGAGTTTACCACTGCCAGCACCAACCCACCCAACTTGAATCCAGGATTTAAGCAGCCTGGTGTCAACTCAGTTTGCCATCCTGATGCCCAGTGTGGAGCGTATGGTTTTTGGCAATTGGTGCACATTTTAGCCAGATGGCCATGAATGGGACAGGCTTGATACAGCAGATTCAATCTGAGATGTCAGAAGGCAACATATGCATGCAATTGCTCTCACAATGATGCTTAAGAAATCTTTTGACCAGAATTTGAAGTATTGATTGTTTTGTTTCATGTAGTTCAGAATGGACTGAAATCAATACACCTGTGTCCTGCTTTTTTGTCTTTTGTTTTCTTTAGCACAGAGCTCTTTCCAGTTCTGTAGTCCAGTTTTCAGGCACTTTCAAAAATGCCTCACAATTACACATTTCTTGTTATTGCTGTGTTACTCTGATTATTTGTACTAGTTTTCTGGAAGCACAAAAGAAAATGCATCAAGTGAGACTTCACTGTCGCAGTTGTATCTTAGAAAGACAAAGAATTGGAATGAGAAGCATGCATATCCAATTATTTATCAAATGAACACACACACAGCTTAAACCCTAAATGTGCAGTTTCCTCACATTCCCAGAGATGCTGCTTATGTGTGGTATTAAACACGAATTCATTAGCACTCTTTGATGTGGCTAATCAGCATGTGGTCTCCAGTCCATGTATATGTGTGTGTTGCAAGCAAGCTTTCCAATAGAAGAACTGGTTTTCAATTGGCAACATGCTGGACTGTTGGACGGTCTGGAGGTCAACCCATGTTTCCTGTTCAAGATATTGGGAATGCTGTATCTAGTCCAACTGGCAATCTGCTAAAGCAACCTATGGGAAGATGCTAGAATTATAAACCCATGTTTTTGGATGACCTTGCTTATTAGCTGATCCTAAAGTACAGCGCTAGATGCGTTTTTAAATATTTTACCACCATGGATTGGCATGGATACTTGCTCTTAACATCTAACCATGCACAGAAAAGCCTCTATAAAACCAAGCTGCTTATTATTTTACAATAATTTGATATCTGCACATTAATGTTTCTGAGAGTTGTTGGAGCCATAGCCTAATGGTTAGTAAACATGCTACTGGTCCATTGAGCCATGGTATGGGATGTATGGGAGATGAAGTTTTAAGTCCTGATCCCATTTTCCCCCTCTTCTCTCCATATAGTTTCCCGTTGTCTCTGCTTTGAGTAAAAAAGTATTTAATTGTAGAGCTTCTGCATGTGATTGCTTTATGGGAAGGATGTTGATTCGTCTTTTGGCTATTATTTGAACCCACAATGGCAGGAAAACTGTCATGTGGCTTTAATAATTTGTCTTCCTTTCTCCTTCTCTGAGAATTTTTTGTGGAGGATACAGTGAATTGTGGTTATGCAGTTTCATTGCTGTCAAGCTAATGCTAATATCTTTAATGCTAACATTCTTCTGTTCTTTCTGTCTGTGCAGGTACAGAATGTCCCCAACTTCACGAGAAGCCTGAATACTGATACAGAGCACAGGCAACAAGTAGTGGACAGAGACACTCTTCCCATAGGGCAACAGGACAATGGCTTCCCACAACAGGAGATTGAACTGTTTCACTTTTTCTTGCTGCATCATTGTCCTGCTGGTTCCCCTCGTGGCTACAAGGCCACAACAGCCTTCAGCGGCATCCAGAGTACATGAGGAATACAGCACATTCCAGGTGGAAAACCCTGAATGGACCTTTAACCATCTTGCGGTGGACCACAGAAATGGGAATGTGTACCTTGGGGCTGTGAACCGCATTTACAAACTCTCACCTGGGTTGGATGTACAGGTGTCACATCAGACCGGCCCAGATGAGGATAACCGGAACTGCTACCCTCCCCGAATAGTGCAGCCTTGTAGCGAACCACTCACGTTAACCAACAACGTCAATAAGATGCTGCTTATGGACTACCGTGAGAACCGGCTGTTGGCTTGCGGCAGCCTGTACCAGGGTATTTGCAAACTCCTCCGTCTGGATGATCTCTTTAAGCTTGGAGAGCCCTTCCATAAAAAAGAGCACTACCTCTCTGGTGTCAATGAGAGTGGCTCCGTTTTTGGGGTCATTGTGTCTTACGGTGACGCTTCACCTGATAAGCTATTCGTGGCCACAGCTGTCGACGGAAGACCGGAGTACTTCCCAACAATATCCAGTCGTAAGCTCACCCGTAACTCTGAGGAGGATGGGATGTTCGCCTACGTCTTCCACGATGAATTTGTTGCCTCCATGATTAAAATCCCATCGGATACATTCACGGTGGTACCAGACTTCGACATCTATTACATATATGGGTTTAGCAGTGGAAATTTTGTGTATTTTCTCACATTGCAACCCGAAATGGGAGGAGGCCCAACGACTGGGTCATCCTCGGCCGGGCGTGAACAGGTGTACACTTCCAAACTGGTGCGACTTTGCAAGGACGACACTGCGTTTAACTCATACGTTGAGGTTCCTCTTGGTTGCGTTAAGGGTGGGGTTGAGTATCGCCTCCTGCAGGCGGCCTACCTTTCCAAGGCAGGTACCATTCTGGCACGTTCGCTGGGCATAGAACCCGATGATGACATCCTTTATGCTGTGTTCTCCAAAGGACAGAAAAGGAGGCCCAAGGAGTCATCTCAGGAGTCGGCTCTATGTGTGTTCACTCTGAAAGAAATTAATGAAAGAATTAAGGACCGGCTGCAGTCGTGCTATAAAGGAGAGGGAACCCTGGATCTTGCCTGGCTCAAAGTTAAAGACATCTCATGCAGTAGCGCAGTGAGTACATTCAGCACACCCCTGCTTACCTGCCATTAGCAGAAAAATTCTACTTGTGACAGTAACTATAGTAACACTCTATGACTGACGATGATTGATGTGAACACTGCTATTACATTCAGAGCTAGTCATCAAATTGTATACAAATTTTTGCATACAAAAAGTTTTTGAAACGAGACCATTCAAGTTTTTACCAGAGCTAGAGCTCATTTTGGTCGGATAAAGGCACACGTATGAGGTAGTGCCCACTAGCAATACAATACCACTCTTGATCAATTACCACTGGCTGTGTTTATAACAGGTCTTTTGACGACACAGGACAAGGTATCGAAATAAAGTGACATTTTTAATGGTTACCTGGAAACTGACTGTTTTGAAAGCAAAAATCTTGTGTTTTAAACTGTGGGTGTTTGGGCAAAATGAACTGGAGAATTTGTCTTTCCAATTTCAGTCAGAATTTTTATACCGATATTTAAAAAAGGACAATGATATCTTATCTTGCAGTAGATCTGATCACTATATCTGTATAAATGCAGTTTTTTGCAGGTACCTTTTTTTTGGGCCCATTTTTCTACTTTGATTTTCTCTTGAATTAATTCTCACATCAGTGACAACATAATTGCTAATATTTTGGTTACCAACTTATGGCCGGTTCCAAGTAAAATAACTAATTTGATCCAGTAGTTTTTCCCTCTGTTCCACAAAATAAGGTTAAAATGTTTGACACTTGTGTAAAACATCTCCTCTAGGCTAGGATACTCAGTGGGGATTCAGTTTTTCTAGGCCTTTTGGTAAAACTCAGCCAAGCTGTAAAAATGTGAAACCGCCTTACTCAAAAGAATCAAACTATTATTATAATAACACTTTTTATTGAATTCCAGCCAGGGAATAAACAAACTATTACCTCACATACGCTCAGCACCAGAGCCAACAAATACTTGCTCCTTTCAGGAACATCAGCGCTGGTTGAATGGAGTCAGGTCAACCATTACAGCAATAGAATGAGCTGTTCAGGCATTTATAAGAAAGATTCCATGGTAATAGCACAAACTATTCCTCTGAAGTACCTTGTAAATGCCATATTAATACCATGGTATATGTAAGGTGGTAAATGAGGTAACATGAGGGTTTCTGTGTAAAGGGTGAGATTTTTGTCAAGTTTTTCCTGATGTGGAGAGGATATGTGTGTGAACTGAGGTGGAAGTGAAACTGACACACACACACATACACATACACACACTTACAGGCACTCACACACAAGAATAAATGTGAAGCAGACTGTGAGAGATTGCTGCCGTGATAAGTGTACGGCTAGAGAGAGAGGGAGGAAGGAAGGGAGTTCTGTTGAGGAATGGTGCCATTTTTGTGTGCGCTGCAGTATGGCCACTGCAGCATAAATTAAAGAGAAAGCGTCACAGTGAGGAGAGAGAGATGGATAGCCTGCGTCTCCTCCTCTGGTAACTATGGCTACTAGCTCCTCATTTAAAAGCCAGGCAAGTCTTTGATTGGGGAAGAGAAAAAAAACAAGTGAGCTCAAACACATTAAATCTGAGACTGATAAATGCTCTGTTGCCGTTTAAATGATCTTCTCCGAGAGCTGTTAGATCTCGCACACAAATATGAACACAGAAATACGCAAACACATGAATACACAGGCTTAATAAAGACAACATGAAATTAACTTTTCTCCTGTTTACTTTAATAAATATCCATGGTCTGTTATTCTGAAGAACACAGTATTTCATCAAAATTGGGGATACACAGTATTTTATCAAAATCTGTTTATTAAAATCTTTATCAAATCTTAAATGTTCTTTTTTTTTGTAAATTTATAATGTGATGTCCAAATTCACTCGTAGAGTTAAAAATTGTGTTTTTATTTTTAGGTGTTTATTATTCATTTATTTTGACAAAAATGAATAATATTAATATTGACTAATTAAAATTGACTAATGAAAATGTTAAATGTCATGGCTGATAACCAATAATATTACTAATATTAATGTTGTATATGTATAACAATATATTTATTTATAATACTTTTTAATATTTATGCGGTTATACATTTATGTATTTATAATGTGTAATAGTTATAATATTTATGCTTAAAATATTATGACTTTCTCCACGTAATGAGCTGTCATGTCTGCAGATTTAACCAAGACTATGGTTGAGGAGAAAAATAACCTTAAATTATATCGTAACAATTTAAATTTTTTATGGTACAATTACTGTACATCCTAATGGATGTCATCCTATATTTGCTTGCCACAGAATATTCTGTGGCATCTGAAAATGCGGTACATTATGGAAGTTGAATGCATTGTGAATGCTGTTTCATGTTGTCTTTCACAGTGAGCAGACTACATTAGGTATAAAGCAGCTTCCAAACACCCACAGGCAGAAGGAACAAGGGCACGATTGCGCTGACTCACCTATAAATAAAAGGACACGCTCATAGACGGATACATTCAGACACTCATGTGTTTCTGTAAAACAACCACAAATATATTCGAAAGTGTCCCAGGGCAAAAAAGAATGACATATCTTTCAGGCTGTTCTGTGACTGAAGTTAAACGATCTTGGGCTGCAGAATTCCCGTATCTGTGTTCAATGGGACTGCGTTGACAAGATAAAAAGTGGGGAATGACAGGAGTGAGAAAATGGCACATGAACCTGCTATCTTAGTGGGGGAGATGGATGTTTTGCTAATATCACTCGGATGATTTTACAAGAATTGCAGTTGTTGGTCTCAGATGTGTTTGTGTTTTCAATAATGCATGAAAAATTCACTGCTGCAGTTGTAACATTGCTGGAATATTGCACATCATCATTTACTGAGGGCACCAAACATATACAAGCTTCTCAGCACAAACCAAGAAGCAAGAAAGAAAGAAAAAAGAAAAATATCTGGTAGCGTCTCAGTAGCTTTTTGACTTTCCTGATATGAAAGTCTAATTAAGTAAGCAGAGTAGCGCAGTGAGATCAAGCAAGCCCTTCTTCATGAATGTGAAGATAACATTCTCTCAATATTCAGCCCTCTGCAAACATTACATCAACATGATAGTAATGCAGGTTCGGTGAAGATAGGAAAGTGATGTATATCTTAATATCCTCTCTGTACCCTCTGCAAACGATAAGGATATTATGCTGTGAAAAATCATAGCATAATGTAAGCCAGGCTCATTTGAGATAATATCTCTAGTTCTGTCCAAAATTCAGTTCTTTACTAGCAGTCATCTTTTTTACTATTATATTGATGTATATAAAAATAATATAGAAAAATATATGAACTATGATGTAATGTTTCTGAGACCCAACAATAAGAATATTTGGCATGAATTCCATAACTATTTTAATGCTTTAATGGTGTTTCATGTTTTCTTTTTTTTTTTACATAAATGTGCTAGAGGGACATCTGTGATGCGATGCATCTCACTGTTTTTTTCCCAGTGTTTAAGATAGCTTGACAAATTCAACTTAAAACTGTTAAACACATCCTGAGACACCTGTGTTCTGTAGCACTGTGTCTGTCTGTTTTAAACTTAAGATTCGTCCTCTGCAAGCAGCTTTTTCTGTCTTTTTTTATTTACAGTGATTGCTAATGTCACATTACCATAGTTTTACTGTAGAAATAACTAGTAACTATGGTTACCATGGTAAATTTAGTGTGTGTATGTGTCAGAAATGTATTTGCAGAGGCAGCAGCAGTACTCTGCTCTGCTGGCTCTTTCAAGCTCTCTGTTGCTCTCTTCTCTCATGGTGTGTGTTTTTCCCAATTAATGAACAGATGAGCAGCCCTACTGCTCATTAGGACAGTCAGACTGCATGAAGGGGCACTGTTAATGTCAAACATGACATGTGCACACACAAACTCACAAAAGAAAGGGTGTGCATTTCACCATGTGAGACAGAGTAGCCATCTTCATCAGTTCTTTAAAACAGACTTAGACTAAATCTTTTTAGATCGTGGTAATGAGTCGTCTCTCAAGCACATACACAGAGGCATGGCATGTCACACACAATGGTCATGCTGTCAACCACTTTAGGAAGAGATTGTGTCTCTTTGAAATATGTACCACTACATGTGATATGAGCTCTTAATTATGTTCCATGCCCAGATACAAAGGTGCCTCCTTTCTATTTTTTTTCTACTTAAATATTTATGTAATAAATATCCCACAGTCGAAGAAAGTATAATTTGCCCAATACTTATGAATTCATGAGATTTGAAGACAGGCCCATGTTCTCTTAATCCCAAATCCAGGGTTCGATAAGTCAGCTTTACTCCCACAGGGTTACAACTGGCAGCTGTGTGCTGCTATTTAAAGATCAGATACACCAAAGGGGAATCCAAATGCAGAGGCAGAGATCTGAAGCTCACTCAAGACTACTGTAGCTTTGGTTGTGCCAAACATTTCTCAGACTTCCCAAGTGCCTTTGGGCCCAGACAGATGAGTGTTCAAACCTGAACAACAAAAGGCATTCTGATGTTTGTATTTATTTTTAGTTTTTTAAAGTGTATGGGGTTGATTTGTTATTGACTGGAACGTCACTGCCTGCCTTGCTTTTTATTTCTAACAAAAACAAGTTAATTATAATGTTCCATTTGTTCCATCAAGGCCAAATATTTGAACTATTATTTACAAGGAATTAATTAATATTCATTGTGTCTTGTGTAGGATTGGGTACCAAAAGCCGGTACCAATATGACACCGGTACCTATATAACTGCTATGTACTAGAACCGAATCAGAACGCAGATTTCGGTGCCATGCCTTAGCGATCGATTTAAATATTTGTCCTCTGGTTCTCCGAAACTGATGTAAGAAGCATCATCACCGGCACCGCACGTGAAAAATAATTTCCCGACTGAGAAAATGCATGTGAACTCAAGTCTGAAAGCTCTAATAATACAAATCCAACAATCTTTGTAGTAACGAGAGTGTCCATGTTGTTTTCACATTCCGACTTAAAAGCACAACTCGGGAAATGAGAGCA